AGGATTGATTTAAAAATAAAAATAAGATATCTTGGAGTATTCATCTATTTGGGTTGCTATAACAAAATAACACTGGGGTGACTTAACACATTTATTTTCTTATAGTTCTAAAGGTTAGGAAGATCAAGATGTTGACGGGGGTTGGGGATATAGCTCTGTTGGTAGAGTGCTTGCCTCCCATGCACAAGACCCTGGGTTCAACCCCCAGCAAAAAAAAAAAAAAAAAAAAAAAAGATGTTGACAGGATTGGTTTCTGGTGAGAACCTTTCTTTTTTTCTTCTGGCTTGTAGTTGGCCAGCTTCTTGCTATGCCTTCCCATTGTCTTTCCTAGGAGTGTATACTCAGTAAGAGGGAGACCAAGAATGTCTCTGGTGTCTCCTCTTATAAGGACATTAATTCTATTGGATATGTGCCACAAACCTATGACCTATTTACTTTTCTGTTTTGTTTTGTTTCAGATAGTATCTCACCGTGTTGAATGCTGCCTCAGCCTCCCAAGTAGCTGGGATTATAGGTGTGTGCCACTACACCTGTTAGAATAGTAATTCTAACATTTGTCATCATAGCTTAATTTTTTCTGTCATTTATTTTGTATGCATGGAATGATATCACATGTCTTCAAACAAGCAGCTTTAGTTCATCATCATCATTATTTTTTAGGTTATTTTATTTTATTTAAACAGCATCTTGTTATGTTTCCCAGGCTAATCTCAAAGTCCTGAACACAGTGATCTTCCAGCCTCAACATCTCAAGTAGTTGAGACTATGGATGTGCATCACTATGCCTGACTAGTTTAGTGTTTTTTTGCATACTATAATAGTATATAAATATATGCTGTTATCATTCAAAATTTTCCCCAAAAAAGATATGTGTTGGAAACTTAATCTCTAATGTATCAATGTTAGGAAGTAGGGCCTATTGAGAGATATTTAAATTGTAAGGGTCCACTCTCATAAATGGATTAATGCCAACTATAAAAGGACTGAGGCTGGAAGTTTTATCTCATGGTTCACTCTTGCCCAGGTGATGCCTCTGCCATGGGATGATGTGGCCAGACGCAGGCCCCTCAAACTTAGACTTCGAAGCTTCCAGAACTGTAACAAATAAATCTGTTTTGTTTAATCTCCAGTGTTGTAAAAACAAACAAACAAAAATTACTCTGTTCTTTACAAATTACCCAATCCCAGGTATACTATTATAGCAGTACAAAATGGACTAATACATTCTACTGTCAATAGACATTTTGGATTCTTCCATTTTAGATCTAATAACTTCTATGAACTCCATTGTACATATCTTTGGGGGCACATATGCATGTGTGTTAAATATGTATTATTGGGCTTGGCACAGTAATCCCAGTGGCTGGGGAGGTTGAGGCAGGAGGATTGCAAGTTCAAAGCCATCCTCAGCAACTTATCAAGGCACCAGGTGACTTAGTGAGGCACTAAGCAACTTACTGAGACCCTGTCTCTAAATAAAATATAAAAAATGGCTGGGGATGTAGCTGCATGGTTAGGTTCAATTCCCAGTACCAAAAACAAACAAACAAACAAGCTGCTGAAGCCATTGGGACTGAATCAACAAAAACTTCTACTAGCATAATATGAGATTCCCATTGCTCCATATCCTTGTCAATATCAAGTATTAGCTACAGCATGTTAGCCATTATGGTGGTCTATATCTTAAATCTGAAATATGCATTCTTTGGTGACTAATGATGTGTAACACCCTTCACAGGCCCAAAATAACTGTACTTAGGTTCCCTTACCAAGGCTTCTGATGAGGCTATGTTTTTAGTATGTAGCTAAGGTCATGAACATCCTGATTCGGTGTACTCTAGGTCACTATGTAACCTATTGGCAATGTGACTTCTTTGTCCAGCCTGGATATAAAAAAGCCCTATTCGTCTTTGAAACTCCAGCTAGAGCAATTAGGTAAGACAAGGAAATTAAAGCATACTAGTAGGAAAAGAAGAGTTCAAACTATCTCTGTTTGCCAATGATATGTTTCTATATTTAAAAGACTCAAAAAAACTCCACCAGAAAACTTCTAGAACTCATAAACATATTCAGCAAAACAGCAGGATATAAAATCAACACCCATAAATCAACCATGCTTCTACACTCCGTTAGTTTTCTTATATACCAACAATGAACCTAAAAAAGAAATTAGGAAAATTATCCTATTCATTATGGCCTCAAAAAAACAAAAAAGAAAAAAAAAGTCAAACAAACAAACAAACAAAAACTCTAGGAATCAATCTAACAAAAAAGTGAAGGATCTCTATAATGAAAACTATAGAACACTAAAGAAAGAAATTGAAGAAGACCTTCGAAGATACTGTCAAAATGGCCATACTACCCAAAGCATTTCAGATTCAAAGCATTTTCCATGAAAATTCCAATGAGAAAAAGCAGTCATGATCTGGGAGCAGTGACACAATCCTGTAATCCCAATGGCTCTGGTGGCTGAAGCAGGAGGGTTGCAAGTTCAAAGCCAACAACAGCAACTTAGTGAGACCCTAAGCAACTCAGCAAGAGATCCTAAGTCTAATAAAATACAAAAAGGAGACTCAATGATTAAGCACCCTTGGGTTCAATCCCTCATACTCAAAAAAAAGAAAGAAAGAAAAAGCAGTCATAAAATTCATTTGGAAAAATAAGGGGCCCAGAATAACCAAATCAGTCCTTAGCCAGAAAAGCAAAGCAGGAGGCATCGCAGTACCAGACATTTAAATTACATCACAAAGCTACAGTAACAAAAATGGCACGGTATTGGCACCAAAACAGGTATGAAGACCAATGGAATAGAAGACACAGAGACACATCTACTTAAATACAATTATCTCATACTTGACAAAGGAGCTAGAAACCTACAATGGAGAAATGATGGCCTTAAATAGTGCTGCAAAAACTGGAAATACACATGTAGTAGAATAAAACTTAACCCCTGTCACCCACCCTGCACAAAACTCAACTCAAAGTGGATCAAAGACCTAGGAATTAGACCAGAATCTCTGAACCTGCTGGAAGAAAATGTAGACCTAACATTCCTACATATTGGCTTGATAGCTGATTTCCTTAACAAGACTCCTAGTTCAAGAAATAAAATAAAAAATTAGTAAATGGGATGACATCAAATCAAAAAGCTTCTTCACAGCAGAGGAAACAATCAAGAACATAAAGAGAGAACCTACAGAATGGGAGAAAATCTTTGACACTTGCACCTCAGGTAGGGCATTAATATCCAGGATAAATAAAGAACTCAAAAAACTTAACACCAAATAAAACAACACAGTAAAAACAAGACAAAAACCAAATAACCAAATCAATAAATGGGCAAAGTAACTAACAAATACTTCTCAAAGGAAGAAATATGAATAGTTAACAAATATATGAAAAAATGTTCAACATCTCTAGCAATTAGAGAAATTCAAATTAAAACTGCACTGAGATTCCATCTTATTCCAGTCAAAATGGGAATTATCAAGAATACAAGTAACAATAAATGTTGGTGAGGATGTGGGGAAAGGGTACACTCATACATTGTTGGTGGGACTGCAGTTTGGTGCAATTATTCTAGAAAGCAGATTCCTTAAAACACTAGGAATGGAAACATTTGACCCAGTTACCCCATTTCTGTCCAAATTTTTAACATATTTTCTTACATTCTATTAAAGAAGCTTGTTTTTTTTTTTCCTTTTACATGTAAGCCTTGAGCAACTGGCATGAATCTTTGGAATCTGATTTTGGACTTTTTATTCTATTCCATGTGCATATATATGAATCAATACCACAGTGTTTTTATACTTGTATTAAAAATAACTTTGCCATCTGCTAGAGTAAGTTTTCCAACTTTTGTCTTTCTAAAGACTTAATTTTTGCTTGGTGTGGTGGCTCATACCTGTACTCTCGGCAGTTCAGGAGGCTGAGGCAGGAGGATTGTGAGTTCTAAACCAGCCTCAGCAATTTTGCTAGGCCCTAAACAACTCAGTGAGGACCCTGTCTCTAAATAAAATACAAAAAAGGGTTGAGGATGTGGCTCAGTGGTTAAGTGTCCCCAAGTTAAAAACAAAAAACTTAATTTGCTATTTTTAGTCTTTAATTTTTTTATTATTTATTTATTTATTTTAGTTTTTTGGTACTGGAAATTAAAACTAGGGCCTCATACATACTTGGTAAGTACTCCACAAATGAGCCACATCCACAGTTGGTTTTATTTTTTATTTTGAGATAAGTGGTCCAGACTGGCATTGAACTTATGATCCTTCTGCTTTAACTTCCCAAGTAGATGGGATTACAGGTGTGTGCTACCATGCCTGGATGTTTTTATTTTATTAGTATTATTTTTGTGATGGGGTTTTGCTGTATTGTCCTGACTGCCCTCAAACTCCTGAGCTCAGGTAATGATCCTGTCTCAGCCTCTCAAGAAGCTGGGTCTACAGTTATGTGCCACTGCATCTGGTGGTCTTTGTGCCTAACCCAGATCTTAAATTCTGAGGGCAGTAATCCCAGGAATTTTAATTTTTTCTTTTTTTTTTTTTTTAATTTTTTCAAAAACAAACAAACAAACAAGGAACATGAGACGTTCTTTATCCAGAAGAAATATGTTAACTATATAACTTTAAAACAGAAATCCTCATCTATTATCCACCAAAATTTAAAGATTGCCAATAAAGACAATTAATAGCCGCAAGTAATTTAGTAAAACTCAACAGATGATGGCTGTTCAGGTACCACATTTCTAAATCTTCTGGAATTCATAAACCTTTGCATTGCTTGGTACGTAATTATTTTTCTCCACTCATCTTTGTGTGTGTGTGTGTGTGTGCGCGCGCGCGCGTGTGTGTCTAAATTGTCATATTTTTGTTTTTAGCTAAAACTATTTGAAAATAATCTTAAAATAAATTCCCTTTTTCTACCTGAATCTCTAAGTGGCTGTGCCTTTCTAATGATTTCTCTTCTTGTGTTTTCTCCATTTCTCTCTTTTTTTTAACACATAACTTTAATACTCCACATTATTATCTTGATCACAACAGTGGTAACCTTCTTGTCAACAATCTTGTGAGTTGAGGAGCTGATTCTCATTCTCATATCCATCAGGCAGATATGCTCTCCTCAGCTGGTCTGACTTAGGTATGGAGCCTCCATTCTTCACATGGCCAGAAAGGAAAGCATGGACTGTTGGGTGATCAGCCTTCTTCAGGGGGATGTTGGCTTCCAGGCACATTTTCACAAAGTCCTGGATAACACTGACTTTCTCTGTTTGCGGAGTACTTTTGCACTGAAGAGATGCAGTTAGGGGCCTCTGCTTCTTTCTCACATTCTGCTCTTCAAATTCTGCCTTCCTCTTGGTATGGGTCTTTGACTTGAGGTGGTCGCTAATAGCAGACTTGCAAACATGGTTTAGAACCACATTGCAAGAAATGCAGAAGAGTTTTTCTCCATCTTCATGAAGCTCACCTCCAAACTCAGTGACATGATCAAGGGGAGTCACATACAAAGCAGTCTTAGAACGGTTTTGGGAAGGTGGTACTGTTACTACAAATCGTTCCATTTTAATCCTGAATTAGGTTCGGATTAGTTTCTAGTTTTTTTTTCTTTTTTCTTTTTCTTTTTTTTTTTCTTGATACTTAGTAGTGAAGGGTCTCCAGCACAAAACCTCAGACACATCAAATCCTGGCACTTTCCGTTCACACCCGGAGACTCCTTCAAATCAGTTTTTCAACAAGTGGTGGTTGGGAAATAGTTTCTGGGCTTGCACCCTATTTTCCCTGAGGTGCCAGGAAGTCATGCCTTTACTTCTAGGTTTTCCGCCCTGCTCTTTCCATTTCTCTTTTATTGTCATCTTTTCCTTCCAACACTGGGGGAAGATTACACAGGAGATTTTTGTGAAGTAGGCTTGCATCTAAAGGGCAAGTATGGTTCAGAACCATGGAGAGCAGACCACACAGTTCAAGGGTCTATAACAAGATAATGGCAAATCTGAGTGGGCCTTGTTCTAAACCCTAGGATTTAGAGCAGTGCCTGACATATAAAAAGTATTCAATAAATGTTAAGTGCAAAGAATTCTTAGTGGAACCAACTCAAACGAACACTTTCAGAGTTCTTTTTTTTTAATATTTATTTTTTAGTTGTAGTTGGATACAATATCTTTATTTTATTTATTTATTTTTATGTGGTGCTGAGGATTGAACCCAGGGCCTCACACATGCTAGGTGAGTGCTCTGCCACTGAGCCACAACTCCAGCCCTTCAGAGTTCTTGATACATGCAACTAAACTATTTTTCAAAAGTGGAGTATTGGGTTTGATATGGGTGAGTGGTAAGAGTATATGCTCAGCATGTGTAGGTCCTGAGTTTGATTCCTAGCATCAAAATAACAACCACCAAAACAAACAAACAAAAAAGACCTATAAACAAAACAGGGTTGATGAGGCATTAGTATAAAGAACCACTAACTATAACTTCTATAATAAATTCTCTTCTTATCTTTCACTCATTTATTGTATGTGGGTGATGAAATAAGTGCCTACTCTGTACCTGGCCTCAAAAACCTCAAAATTCAGATGGGAGAACATACGACAAATGATCATATTATGATGAGACAGATTTTTTTTTTAATATTTATTTTTTAGTTTTCGGCGGACACAACATCTTTGTTTGTACTTGGTGGTAAGGATCCAACCAGGGCCGCACGCATGCCAGGCCAGCGCACTGCCACTTGAGCCACATCCCCAGCCCCTGATGAGACAGATTCTATTCTAGAGTACACCATGGGACACAGATGAACACATTACCTTCAGATATAACAGTCAGGAAGGGCTATCTCATGAGAAGGTGACACTTGAGTGTTGAAATAATAAGAATTTTAATCAGGTGAAGCTGGACACAGTGGTGCACGCCTCTAATCCCAGATACTCAAGAGTCTGAGGCAGGAGAATTGCAAGTTCAAACTCAGCCTCAGCAATTTAGCAAGGCCCTAAGCAACTTAGCCAGACTCAATATTATAATTAAATTAATATTATATTTAAAAATATTATAATTATAATTAATTATATATATATTATAATTAATAAATAGGGTGGAGGATGTAGCTTAGTGATTAAGCACTCTTAAGTTCAATTCCCAACAATAACGAAAAGAATCAGGTGAATAAAAAGAATGATGAAATTGGTGAGATTAAAGGGAAATTTTGTGTAGGACTCTTTGCCTTTCTCACCCATAATACTTTCAATAATATATGATGGTCATTGGCCATGCCCAATTGAAGCAAGGATGGACACCCCAAAGTAGCTAATCTTTTATCTACCTTTTTTTCGAATTGAAGAACATTGCCATTACATTTTTGGTAGGCTTTATTGAGATATAATCCAGAAACCATACAATTTGCTCATCCAAATTATACTTTTAGCACAGTTACATAGTTATGTATGCATTCATCATCATGATTGATTTTAGGGCATTTTCATAACCCCAGAAAGAAATCTGGTATTCCTAAGTAGAACCTCCCAACTTTCCCAAATCTGCCACCTCCTCCTTCTACCTACTATTCATAGGCCAACGATTTTCTATTTTCTGTCTCTGTAGATGTACTTATTCTGTATTTTTCATACAAATAGAATCATGTAATATGTGATATTTTGTACTCAATGTCTATCACTTAGCATAATGTTTTCTAGTTTCAGCCCTGTTATAGCTTGTGTTAGTACACATATATATTTGGGTACTAGGAATTGAACCCAGGGGCACTTAACCACTGAGCCACATCCCTGGCCCTTTTTATTTGGAGATAAGATTTCCCTAAGTTGCTAAGGGGCCCACTAAGTTGCTGAGACTGGTCTTGAACTTGTGATCCTCTTGCCTCAGCCTCCTAAACTACTGGGATTACAGGCATGTGCCACGATGCCTGCCTAATGGCTTATTTTTTTTTTTTATTATTGGCAAATAATATTCTATTGTGTGGATATAATACATTTTATTTATCCATTCATCAGTTGATGAACAATTGGGTTATTTCTACTTTTTGACTTTTATTAATAACATTGTTATGAGCATTTGTGCAAAAATTTTTGTGTGGACATATTTTCCTTCTGTGAGTGGACCTGCTGGATCATATAACCTAATGTTTAATAATTTGGAAAAAAGTTTTTTTTTTTTTTCAAAATAGCTGCAATATTTTACCTTCTTAACAGCAATATATAATAGCTCACATTTCTACATCTTCACCACACTTGTTATTTTCCCTTTGATTATAGTTATTTTAGTGGGTATTAAGTGATATCTTATTACGGTTCTATTTTCATTTCCCTGGTGGCTAATGATGTTGAATATCTTTTCATGTGCTTAAATTAATATTATATTTAAAAATATTATAATTATAATTAATATTTTTGTGTATCTTTCTTTGAGAACCATATCGTTATATCCTTTGGCTATTTTTAATTGAGTTGTCTTTTTTGTTGATGAATTTTATTTTTATTTATTTATTATGGTACTGGAGATTGAACCTAGTAGAACTATATCACTGAGGTATATCCCCAGTCCTTTTTATTTTTTTTCCATTTATATTTTATTTTGAGACAGGGTCTCATTAAAAGACTGAGGCTGGTTTCAAACTTTCAATCCTCCTGTCTCAGCGTCCTCTGTAGCTAGGATTATTGATGTGCACCACCATTCTTAGCTTATTAATTTTAATTGCTTGTTAAATGTTCTAGATCTTTTCCCTCTTGTATGCCCTTTTTTGAGTACTAAATCCCAGTCGTATTTATATTGATTATATTTTTATCAGATCATATCAGACACATGATTTACAATCCATTTTCTTCCATTCTGTGGGTTGTCTTCTCATTTCCTTAATAGTGTCCTTTGAAGCACACTTTTTAAAATTTGATAATGTCTAGTTTATTTTTTTCTCTTTTGTTGCTTTGGCTTGTAGTATGGTGTTGAAGCAAGATTTAAAGATAGGTAGTTAGTGTAGTTGGGTAAATCGGGTCTAATATCAAGTCTGATAAAGAAAATGGAGTCCATTAAGAAAAAGGAGCCGAATCTGAGCCTGGGAAACTAGAACTACACCTGGGAAATTCAAATGTTAATATCCACCCACCCCCCTCCTTAAGAACTGTTAATGAAGTAGCTCTGCAAAACAGGGAGATGCTAATCAAACCACTCTAGGCCATTCCTGCCCAGATCTCTCCTCCCCACCCCATTAGTCCACCTGCTTCCCACCTTTTGGCCTTCCCACCTGCATCCCCCAACAAGTGCAGGATAGAGGGAAATGAACACCGGCAATATGGAAGGACAAAAGAAGATCTTAGCTATAAAAGGGAGAAGACCTCCCCTTTCCAGGGATTCCACCTTTTCCGGTCCCCGGTCCCCTTTTTCCTGGAGGTGGGAGGGAGTCTTTTCTGCTATCCTGTAACAAAGCCTTCCACTTTCCACTCTGCACTTGCCTCAGTGTGCTTCTCTGGTGTTATACTTCAGCATTCCGGGAAGCAAGGGCTCTTCACAGTAAACAGAGGGTTAACAGTGTCACGTCTAAGAAACCACTGCCGAATCCCAGGTCATGAAGATTTCAACTTATGTTTTTTTCTAAAAGTGCTATGGTTTTATCTCTTATGTTTTTTTTTTTTTTTTTTTTTTTTTTTTTTGTTGTTGTTGTTGATGGACCATTATTTTATCCATTTATTTATATGTGGTGCTGAGAATCTAACTCAGTGCCTCACACATCTGAGGCAAGCGCTCTACCACTGAGTCACTGTAATGCCCGATTTGTGGGACCCCCAATAGACCTCCAGGAGCTGAATCCAATGCAATCACACAAGAGTCTTTATTGCAAGCTTGAGCCTGGACTCACAACTGTTCCCAATGCAGCGGTCCCAGGGAGTGAGTCCTGGTTCTTTGTTCAGTGAGATTTTATAGGTTTTGGGGGGATACTCTATGCCTCACAACAACACATAGCAAATCATTCCATACCGCGGGAAAATCAAACAGCAACTCTTAACATTGATTAGCACATTCACTGGTGGGAACATGTTGGGTAGGGGTGATTGGTTAGCACAAGAGGGGGATTCGTTTGAACTGATTGGTTTAAACCACGGAGGGGAGTACATGCTGCACTACATGGTTTCCCAACATGTTATCAACCACCATAAACTACTGGGGGGTCATCTGGCATCCCAGGTATTTTCCCTGCCTCATGCTGATTGGAGGTTGCTAGGAGGTTGCTATGGGTCCTCACCTAGCTTAACTGAGTCAGGGACACCTGGCGCTGCAGAAGTCTCCTGTTATTTACAAACAGTTCAGCAGGGTGGGTATGTGCCTAGGAGTGCTCAGTGGGTTTTTCCCAGGACAAGGGTCACGCCCCCTTCCTTAGGACAGGCCTTGAGGTAGAAGCTGCTGTTATTTATTTATTTTCTCACGACAACTCCAGCCTTATATTTAGGTTTTTGATTACTTTTGCATTAATTTCTGTTCATGGTTAGTTTTGTGACTGGTGTAAAATAAGGGTCCCACTTCATTCTTTTGCATGTGGATAATGAGGCCAGATTTAAAGATA